TTCAGCAGGCATGTTCCTCCTCTCCTGCTTCTCTAATTTATCCGCTCGTTCAGCCGGAGAGCCTTATTTTAGCCTTGGCATTTGAATAGAGGATTGTTTCAAAGCAACTGCCCACTTCCTGACCTCAGCAGAATAAAAGGGACGTTGGTACACTTTAAGCCGTCAGGCTTATTGAGAGTCCCAGTCCAGTACAGAGAAGACGGAGACGCTCTGAAAATAGTTGTTTCCTGAGGACGAAAACACATGTATGCTTAATCTTAAACCTTACCCTAAAACATCGCTAATTCTAATCCTCCAACTCCAAACTAAATAATAAATCTTAACATACTCTCTCTATGAAAAACAACCCCTAAAGGACAGAGAGTCCCCACAACAAAGAATTTTATCTACAAAATGTCCCCATAAGCCATAGCTATACCTAGACTACACACACAAACATGCACAATCTAAACTCATTGGTTGACTTTGCCAACAGAGCACTTGTCAGCAATAAATAAAAATGTAGGGACAAGAACAAGGATTGTATATTTTTTGTAGGTTTTAATTTGTTCTAATTGTGTCTTTTTTCAACATATTTGTTCCCTGGAAACTTAATTCCAAATTGAATTACAGTTTCTTTTGAATGTCTCTTCCTTTAAAAAATATTTTATTAGAAAAACGCCGTAATGATTATTTTCCCTTTTTTGATAAACATTGGCCTTGTTGTATTCATGTATTTCCACTGCACTGTATGCTTAGGTCTACTATTATATTTTAAATATTAGACAGTGATGGGCTGGTGGCACTACCAGGCCAATGTACAGAAGTTTATCTTTCCCATGATATGGATTGGGGTTGATTAATGAATGATTAAGAAATAAACTGATTAATGAATGTTACATAAAGACAGTCTCTTAACTGTCTTTATGTAACATGATATACACAGTTTCAGTTTCAGTGAAGTAAGGATGTAGCTTCACAAATAGCTTCACTTTGGGTTAAAAGAAAGAAATACCGTAAAACAAAGGGTTTGACAGATGTTTTCCATGTTGAATGTATCAAATGTCTGTGTCTGGATAAAAAGGCGCTGTTCAAATCGACAAAGTACTGACATTACAGGCAGTTAAGCAGCTTTAATCCAGTCACTGTAGCCGATCTTAAAAAGAAACATCCAAACAGTCCATTACAGTTTTGGTAACTGAGATCAAATCGATGCCTGGTATCAACCAGCCACCCTGTGCAGTCCTCTGAGGCTTGACATGGGTAAAGTAGCAGCTCTAACACTGAATCTGAGACAAACAGGTCAGAATCAAGAATCATGATAAAGACAAACCCAGTAAATTACCCACAGCTTGGTTTGGGTCTCAATGGACAGAGCCCAGTATGGGGAGGGAGCCAGGATATACACCCCCCTAGTGTAGACAAAAATCATTCTGTTGTACATTTAGTGTAGCATTGGTATGGTCAGGAAGACAAGCATTATGTCTGTTGCTAACGTGCTCAGATTCACTTCTGTTGAAACGGCTTATGATGCCATGTGTCTGCACCATAAGGTTCCATGCAGTTGATGTTAATGCCAAACTGACCATGTAGTGTTGGACTGAAAGAGGAAGTAGTTGATATGTATACACTAGTAATTATTTCCTACATATACAAATAGGTTAAAATAAAATAGTTAAAAAATATTGAGAGATCTTGATACAGACCTTGAACAGAGCGTAGAGTGAGTGTCACCTAATGAAAAGCTGAGGCTAACTCTGGGAGCGGACCATTATGAGATGATGTAAAGAGAGGCATACAAACAACCATTGTTTACAACTGTCGTTTAATGAACAGACACAATGGTGATGGTTACATGTCTGAGAAGCAGGTCATTTGATGTACGAAGGGAGCAATCTTAGAGCAGCACTGAGCAGAGCAAACTAATACAACCGTAAAGTAGATCAAACATGTTTATTGTATGAAAGGGACATAAAGTTCCATGGCTCAAGTCCACTGCCAAACTTTGACCTAGGTTTTACGCTTTATATAGGTTTTTTTTTATCCATGTGTCAATAGCACTATACTATTGCAAGAAGGGAAAACATATACATTGCAGTATTTTTAGTGTATTACAACACTGAACTGTAATTTTCTGTGTACTGTGTGTATATGTAGTGCTTGACAACTTACCCGAATGAAGATCAGTGCACTGGAGTCTCCAACTTTGTATTTCCCCTCTGACACCTTGACCATAGGAAACTGAGCTGGACAGGAACAGTGACCCAGAATCTCCCGTACCTGTAGAGAACACGATACAACATTTTATCAGTCAAAGTACAAAACACCACATATTTACATGTTTAAACAATGTTAAGGCTCTAAACTGGCCCTAATCTTAGCCTAAAATTGACCTGAAGTGTTTATTTTCTCATTATAACTCTAACATTAATCTTTACTCATCACTTTAAGAATAGTGCGCACACACAACAAATGTACCAGCTGCCATGTCATTGGTCTTCATGACTTTTATATCCTAGAGCGCCTCCTGTATTTAGGAAGGTTGTCACCGCCCCCCAACTAAACACATTTACAGATACTGTTTTTAAAATGTCACTGAACTTCCACGTTCAATGAATTAAAGTAAGATTTTCTTTCCATTCCCATTAAGGGAAATACAACCACAAATCTGTGCAATGTGACCACCATAGCAAAAATAAATAAAAAAATTTAATTAAAATTAATTTGTCTTGCTAGGTCCCCAATGTAACAACTCTTAGCTCCCCCAACAGTACCCTGCCCCAC